TCAGGTAGCCGCCCACTAAAAGCGTGCAGTAGGCCTAAAGTGACTCTACACCACACGCCTGAATGAGGCATGGCCTGAGGAGATAACCGCGATGCTTACTGTGATAAGGCTTTTCGCCAGCGATAAGTGATACCGGCGTGTTTGTTGGTCGTTGCCACTTCGCCTTAGAGTTTTTCCCCGATGGTTACTATAATACAATAAGTTATTACAAGTTCCGTGCCGCAATTGCGCGGAACTCGTAATAACTTATTGCTTGTTCTCTGCACTTATCAACATGACGGAAAACCATTCATGGTGCATTGTGGCGTCTGAAAGTTCAGCGGAGCAGTAAACTTTTGTCGTGCGAAATGTTATCCCAGTATGCAGTTAGTACCCACTAACCCGAAGGCACAGGCCGAACACTACGGCTCAAGCGGTCCCCGAATGCATTATTCTCTATGAGACTCAGTCGGGGATTCGTTACAACTACTTTCAAACCGTTAGTACACGTAAAGTGGGTATGCACTAACGAGGTTTGACTGTATTTGGCTTTGCGCAGAATGAAGAGGAAATAGGTGTACCCGAGATGCGTACTCGCCACAGGATTGACACAGGACCCGCTCACCCATTCCGGCAGAAACAATATCGTGTCTCATCTGCGGAGTGCAAGTTGATTGCTCAGTATGTAGAAGAGATGTCAAAGAAAAGGGTCATCCAAGAGTTGTGTAGCCTTTGAGCTGCCCCTGTGATTCTTGTCCGGAAGAAGGATGGTACATGGCGATGCTGTGTGGACTACAGATGTCTCAACTCTATTACTAAAAAGGATATCTACCCGCTTCTCAGGACAGATGACGTCATTGATTGTTTACAATCAGCAGCCTACTTCTCCTCCGTAGATTTGAGATCTGGCTATTGGCGAATTGCCATGCATCCGAATGACAAACAGAACGGCCTTCATAGCCCCAGATGGTCTATTTGAATTCAATGTAATGCCTTTTGGCCTATGCAACGCTCCAGCCACGTTTGAGCCCTTCATGGACACTATATTATGTGTACTAAAGAGGGAAGTTTGTCTTTGCTACCTGGATGACATATAATTTTTGGCCGTACATTCTATGAGCACAACCGTCGTCTAGACATTGTTACTCTTGTTCTCTGTCACCTGGTGGACAAGCAAGATGTTTGACCCGACCCCCAGAAAGTCACTGCAGTCAGCAGCTTCAAACAACCTCAGTCTGTACGTGAGTTGCGAAGCTTTCTGGGCTTATGCTCGTACTTCCGTGACTTCGTGCCTAAGTTCGCCGACCTCGCTTACCCTTTGACGTCCCTACTCAACAAGAACACACCTTTTCGGTGGTCAGCGGAATGCGAGTTGTCTTTTTCGCAACTCAAGTTTGTTCTTACGTCAGGGCCCATGCTTCGCCCCTATGACCCATCTGCTGCCACAGAAGTTCATACCGACGCCAGTGGTGTAGGTATCGGCGCCGTCTTGGTTCCATGGAGCTGCTGAGCACGTCGTTGCCTATGCCAGTCGCTGGTTAAGTAAATTGGAGCGAAACTATGCTGTCACAGAGCAGGAATGTCTCGCCGTCATATTCGCCGTGCACAAGTTTCACCCTTATATCTATGGACTCCGATTTTCTATTATCAAGGACCACCATTATTTATGTTGGCTGACTGGACTGCGGGACCCATCTGGTCACCTTGCTCGTTGGGCGTTACAATTGCAAGAACACGACTTTGAAGTCTAACAAGAGCGGTCGCCGTCATGTCGACGTCGATTGCCTTTCATGGCTTCCCCTCCCGACAACCGAGTGTGACGCTGACAACTTTGATAAATATTTGGCAGTAGTAGATTCTCCATTTCCTGACCTAACAACTTTCTGAGTTGAGCAATGCAGTGACAACAGTCTCGCTTCTTTTTTTATTTCCGGAACGAACGGTCAATGGGGTTTTGTCATAAAGAATGGAGTTCTTTACAAAAAGAATTGCTCGGCATAGGCCCTCGTCTACGTCTAATTGTGCCTACAAGTTTGTGACAACACGTAGACTCGAAACATCGGCCTTCCTGACTCCGTTATCATCACGTCCCACCAGGAATTACCATTCTGCAAAGTTCACGCCTATCACAGCACGCACTAACAGTTTTAAGTATTCCTTTCTTCCTTGCACTATAACCGATTGGAATAACCTTCCGCATGAAATTCTTTCATCTGATAATGTGCTGAAATCTATTGATCAAATGTTTGACTTGTAAATTTCGTATTACTATTTCACAGTGTTTTTTTAAATAATTTGTATTGTCCTATTTATTATTTTCACCTCGCTAAAGAGTGTATATTTGATCTAACGGCTCTGTAACACCCCCCCTCCTGCTTGGGCCCATTTGTGGCCTGCAGTATTGTATAATAAATAAATAAATAAATGAGTGAGAAAAAAATGTACTTGTCCCGTGATTAGTGCTTTCAAAATCACAACGCGCTTTTTTGCAGGCCACCAGTGTACTTAAAGGGACACTAAAGACAACTATTTAGTCGACATTGGCTGTTGAAATGGTGGTCCAGAATCCTCGCAGTCTTACTTTTATGCCAAGGAAGGGCCAATTTTGAAATAAAATCTTGTTTTAGTGGTCCACATCAGGTTAGCACACTTCAAGTTACCCGCCTCAAAAAGCAGACCGGCTGGACTGACTCACGTTACTGTTGCTGTGCACAACGTTGCCCGGCTTTACTGCGCTAGTACCAGCAGACCGAAAGCAGCGGGAGCCACAGCAGCAACATCGGCCATTGATCAATTTCCCTCCATTGGCTCCGAGATTGCAGACTCTTTTGTTTCAACTGCACCCCGCTAGATGGCAACCCCTGTCCTATATAACCACGCGAAAATTGAATTTTTTAACCACTTGCGCAATTTTCCATAGTAACAACTGGGGGTTCTTTATTCCACAAATCAAACAGAAACGAACAAGCAGCATTCGATTGCGTCTTTTAATGCACGGAAGGTTCTTTATTTAGTGCAGTTAGATTAATTGATTGATTGATAAGTGGGATTTAACGTCCCAAAACCACCCTATGATTATGAGAGACGCCGTAGTGGAGGGCTACGGAAATTTCGACCACCTGGGGTTGTTTAATGTGCACCCAAATACAGTTAGATCAATTACTAGCGATTAATTGTAGGCGGATCGGATCTTTTTGAAAATGTCCGATTGCAGCACTTGTGCTTTTATGCATTTATCTTCATTTCTCGGTAAGTAGGGCACTGTTGTTAATATTTTCATTTTAGGTGTTGTCATACATTGAGCTTTCACTGTGACGTAAATTGTTATTTGACTTTAGTGTCCTTTTAAGGTGGATTAAGAAGCGTTCTGCGCAAGTTAGAAGAAGGCATAAAACACCCCTCTTCCCCTCTTTTTTCCCTTTTTTTTTTCACCGTGGGATTAGGTTTAGGGCAGAACTTTTGGGCTCCCTTGCATGCAAGGCGCGTTCGACCAGATAAAGTAACAACAGCGCGCGCTTGTTAGTCCGGTGACGGCAACAGATATCTATCGCCGGGACAACGCAACTTCAAAAGAGAAAAATGTTTTATGTACGGTTGCTATGTCAACCAACGTGGTCGCTAGCAACGCCGATTTTCGCAGCACGTTGAGTTTGTTCGCACGCGGAAACAAGGCACACGCTTCCAGCTTTAGTTTATCACATGCCGTAGCTACTACTGCTGAATAGGAAGTTCATTTTTTCCACGAATCATTGGTGGCTACAGCAATGCCTTTTTGTTTACAAATTGCGTCGTCCCACCAATAGGTCTCCACAGCGGTCAGTGAGCCGATTGCGCGGGGCTTTGTTACTTTCACTTTATCTGGTCGATCGTGTGTCGAGAGTGCCCTCACCTAATAGGAATATATCTTACACCGTGGCCGCCATTTCTCGCTGAAATTAGCGCATCTGAGAAAAGTTTGAGGCTGGTCAGGCATTTTGTCACAACTTGGCACGATTTCAGCAAATTTCATGGTTTTGGCACAGCTCGGCGCGAAAATTGAGAAATGTATCAAATTGGCTCAATTGGCGCAGCTTTTGCACCCCTGCGAGTCTACTGTATTCTCATTGGACAGAAGAACTCACTTGCTTGGAGCACCAGAATGGCTAACTATGAAAACATTGGTTGCGATGCCTAACAACATTGCTGCACTGAATGACGAACGTCTAATGCAAAAGACCAGGCACAGTTTTTTTGTTTCCTCTTAACTCAAAAAGAAAGTCATGATAAGAGATTAGCGAGTACAGTTGAGTGATGATGCAATCACTTTGAGCCGTATTTCAGTCCGCTGCAACACTTGAGTTGAGTGATGATGCAATCAATTTGAGCCGTATTTCAGTCCGCTGCAACACTTGAACTATTGGCGTGACCAACGTCATCTTAAACTGGCTGACCGAAAGCCACCAATGATGCCAGCTACAATTTGAAATTACCGTGGCGTTATTGTGCAGAAAGTGGAGTTGTCAATTCCACGTTAACACGGCAAAGGTACGCTTTATGTGCCCGGTTTCAAAGAAAAATGCCCCTAATTTTGTCTGCTGTTGCCGAAAGTCTGTTATACCACGGTCCATTAAAACATCATTGCATCAATTTAATACACAGGCCAACCTTTGGCTGAGTAATGGTCTCTTGCATCTGAAAGTCCGTTGTATGCAGGTTCGTTATAATGAGCGTAGAGTGGTATCGTATAATGATGATACAACTAGGAAGCATTTTTGCCCCAAGCTGTATACTCTCGTTAAACAGAGCGCACGCAATGCAACCAGAATATTTAACAGGAGTCGCGTTTACTGAAAGATGAACAGGCTTACAGACTGAGTATGAGACCAATTATAATTATATCAGAAGTGTTTGCTCCGTGCAGTTTCATATTCATTTACTGAGAGTCTAATGTGGTGCCAATGTTTCAGTCAGCAATCGGTTTTTGAGAGCTCAGTGAGCCGACGTAGAGTATCACACAAACAGTCAGCGTTTCGTAAGCTCACCTCTACGGCTGGCCTGATGCTTGTTGGAGCTCGAGGTGGCCGCACCAGAGGGTGCACACCTGCCATCGTCCTTGGAACCTTTGGCTCCAGCCTGCAAACCACAAAGGTACTTACTTATATGCAGTCCAGACAACGTCCACAAGGGACATATTTTGGCAATCTCTCACAGTGAAGAGACTGCTGCATATTTCATGAAAATACTGCACTCAATTACCTACCAAGCTCCATCCTACGAGTAAATTATTCCCCCTCTCTAACCTTCTATTGCTCAAATTGTCGAGATTTTTTTCTTTTTTTTTCTTCCACTTACAAGGCTGCGCCAGTTTACACGTACGAACTGAGATGATACATGACCCCAACCCCGAGTGAACCGAGCTCGACTTGTATTGGCAAAGGAAAGCAGCCACGGCTGCAGAAAACAAGACAACGCACCAGAAAGGCCACAGTGCCAAAGAGTGTAGAACTTAGACCATCCACGCCTGGCTTTAGCTTTCCTTGCCTGAACAATTCTTCAACATTTGCTTGATGGTTCCTACCCTTGAAGTGCTGCACCAAAGCCAAAAAATGTCTAATCATGCAATTATACTGGAAGGAAATATCATATGGCAACACAAAAAAAAAAATTCACACAAAACAATGCAATCATGACATGTGCTTCTAAAACAACAAAGAACTTTTTTTTTAACTATTTCAGATACTCTAAGCAAATGAATTTAAGGAAGAACCACATTATATCTCGCAAAGCTGAAAATTTATAGAACATTCCCTTATCAATGCATGCTGCTGGTCTAGTTACCTCAATATTACAAAAACTGATTTCAAAACTCTCGGACATCTAGATTTTAGGACTTTGTCCCAAAGCTGCAGGTCTGAAACGTAAATTATTAACCTTCTAGAGGTTAGATTTTTTCGTAAAATGCAGGACAAAATGAGGAAGTTTTTTTCTTCCTGAAATAATCTTTTGAGAGAATTCTACCGCACACACGCGAATAAGGCTCGTGCTTGTGTAAGGGCCGCACTTGGCAGTCTACATTTTGAAAAAAAGAAAAAAAAATCTCGCCAGCGCAACGGCAGCATTTTCACATTTAGCCTAAGACAAACTTTGTGAGAATCACCAGATGACAAAAGTGTTCTGCGGCATCGTCATAAAGCACCATATGTAAGCTATATATGACAAGATTACATAGGCTTTTTGATAAGTGGATAAAAAATTGAACAAAATTTCATACTTTCGTGAAACGGCCGCAACCTGTCAGAATCACAGAAAAGTAGTGCCGCCCTTACACAAGTGTATTTCATATTTAAAAATAAAGATGTCCAAAACTTGTTTGCACAAAAAATAGATCTTGTTGTTACAAACAATGATTAGTTCATAGTAACATAACATCTATCAAATCCTGGAAAAAAAAAGCACTTATTATTGCGATAGCAACTATAAGGACACTCTCGGCTGAGTTTTGATGTCGCCGTCACGTCTCATATATATATATATATTCTTCAGCATGCTGCATTAAAGAGACACTAAAGAGCAAAACGCCTTTCCAAGTATTAGTAAAGTACAATTTCGGAATCCCCGAAACACCCCTCTTACTGCGACACAACAATAGGTAAGCAGAAAACGCACGAAAAGAAACTGTGGGTGGAGACACCACCTTGAGATTCCCGCACCACACACTGTGAACTAATCAATTTTTGAAGGCGTCTACTGGGTCCTACGTAGCTTCTAATTGATAAAATTGAAGTACATTGTAATTTCTGGGTACCATAGACTTATTATACGAAGTCGCGAAAAATTTCATTGAACCAATGTCAGAGAAATACGAAATATACATTGTAGAATTTCTTGAGTCAAGTGCAGAGATTACAGCATGAAATTTTAAAATGATACTTGAACCTTGATTTTCTTCGCTAATAATGAAATAATGACAGTGAAACTTATCACAATGGAGTTCTCAGATTGCAGTTTATCAATCTACAACAGCTCATTGTTTCTCTTTAGTGTCTCTTTAAGCAATTTTTTTTTAAAGCCATAACCCCTCTGTCTTATAGCAAAGAAATTCTGTAAAAAACGCTTTGCAACCTTGTTTCATTCTGTTATTTAGTGTGTTTCATGTATGCTCACCCTGCTTGGACTTTTTGTCTGCAGTATTCTATAAATAAATAAATAAATAACTAGGCCGTGCCGCTCATGCTATCCATCTCACTAGAGGCGTATAATGTCGATGACCGATTTCCCGGACAGCCTAAATTCTGGTAATGCTTGATTTCCCTGACTCATCCCTGGCATTGTCAAGTTTCCCATAGAGTCAATTAAAAAGTTCTGTTCTCCAATTGTCTCGTCCAGAGAGGACAGCGTGTATGACTTTGGTCCGTGGGTGTTGCCTTCGATGATCTGCGCGCTGCCAGCATTTCAGTTCCAGTTGAGATAACCTTTAAGGGCTTCGCCAACGCTGACAAAGACCTCGAGCTGTGTGTGGAATTGATGGATGATGAAATCATTTGTCAAGTTACGGAGAATTTCCACGAGTCTGACACTGAGGACGAAGAGGCAGCACTTAGACAGCCAACTAGCTCGGAGTTGGCACGAGCATCGGTGTACACTGGCATTATGACATTAACCGAAATTGAGGCAGACATGATCACGGGCAAGTGGAATGCCATGCAGTAGAAAATCAACGACCTTTTTGGACCAAAGTGTTGACCACTAAGATAAGACTGGCTACATCGAATTTTTTTTTCTTTCTTTTATAAACAAATGGTTCTTTTTAGAGCCACCTAAACAATGCATTAAATGGATTGCAACGAAAATCTTGTACTCCTGCCGTGACCCTCTCCATGAGTAAAAAGTACCTGTAAAAGGAGTGCGTTTTTGCATGCATTCATTTTTATTGACTGCCCAATTTTCCGGACGCTTTCATAGTCCCTTGAAAGTCTGGGGAATCATACATCAACTGTACACCATTTACCACTGTCAATGAACATGTAGCGGCGAGTTCATTAAAATTTTTGTTTTTTCCTATGAAGATTGATCGCTACCTCATCCCTTTTCAAAATTAAACATTTTCTTTTCATTAACCGCTGGTTTCATGATTGATAACTCGTGATGGGTGGGAGCCATACATCAAGGAATACGCAAGCAAGCGAATTCTCCCATCATCTAGCTGCTTCCGGCGTCGACACCCACACTGTCTAAGACAATCTGAGGTGAACGTTTTCGTGAATCGGAACTGTACTTTTCCCAACTGTTATCAGTATCGTCGACGTTGACTGACGCCAAGGAATTGCGCCGGACAACGGCGAGAACCCTGTATGTAGTTCGGCCTTTGCACCCACCGCGTGTTGTTTAAGTAGCTTTAATAAAATACTAGTTGTGCTGAAGCAACGCGGGCTTGCATACGTGCCCACACACGAGAAGAACGTGCTGCTGCCAATGCGAAAAACATGGCTTAATGCACATTCGACCATGTTCACTTCATTTTGTATGGTTCTTAAATATCCTAGCCTTACTTTGTATAACAGCCCGATGTAATGCTATCGTATTCACTGCTTCGACCTTGCACCAAAACTGTGACTTTATATGTATTGTAGTGAACATAGCTTGCAGACCTAGAGAAATAAGTGCACCAGAGTATTCTTTAAAAAAGTTACTTTTTGTAGTGCGCAAAAAACGTTTGAGGAAGAAGATAGAATGGTGAGATAGGACAGAGCGCGCACTTACAACCAATTTTATTGCACAGATGGCACACATGTTAGCTCATATGCACAGATGTTAGCTCTCTCTGAAAAAAGAAAGCTAAAAAAAGAGTTAACAGCAAAGGATCTCTATGTGTCGGGTGCAATAAAAAGCACGCCAAAATGTTTGTAGAATGTATTATAGGCGTTCAGTTTCCGATTTATTTATCATGTGGTCGATACTATATCGGTCAGACGGGGCGCTGTCTGAACAATCGGCTTAGGGAGCACGCAAATCTGATGCGAGGATCAGTGGGCAGCCACTTGGCAAATCACTGTGCGAATCGTTGGTGCACCCCTAAGTTTGATGAATGCCAAGTAATGGTAAAATATAAGGACCAGAAGGCACGTGGAATATATAAGGCTTTTTTTATTCGTAAAGCAGGGATTGAGCATGTCAGTGCGCCATCCGTAAATCTATTGGATAATGAATTCAATATCTTTTCAGTTAAGTTGTCAAGTAAAGATTGGAATAAGGTGGTCTGGTGCATGCACTATCATTTGTCTTTTTTTCTGTGAGTGATCTCTTCGCCCTTTTGACTGTATATATATTCCCGCCATCTGTGCAATAAAATTGGTTGTAAGTGTGCACTTTGTCCTATCTCACTGCTCTATCTTCTTTCTCAAACGTTCCCTGCACACTAAAAAAAGTAAATTTCTTTCAAAATGGAATACAAATCAGCCCAAGTAGCCCCACTTTTGCACCAGAGTACTTTCCCGGTAAGAAATGTTTTTGCTCTAACAGTAAACATTAGAAAATAGTTACCAATACTCCGATCCGAATCGGACCGCTGTGCGCACTTTGAAGATGTCACTTATTTTCATTTTCCGAGTCTCATAACTGGCCATCTCACTAACTCATCCTCGTCTCATTAACTGAAATCGAATTATAGAGATTTGGCATTTGGGCAATGGTCCACATAGGAAGAATTGCCGCTCGACTCTTTAATCCTACAGTAACTGGAGCACACCTCCGTAATGTAAGTGACCTGCGGGAGTGAGCGCATGGAAGAAAACTGTGTGATTGTGCGCCCATCCTAAAAGCAAAATGACTGAAAAATCTATAATGATTCTTTTGTCAAATCGTAAACAAGATGAAGTCATTTTTTCAGAGTCCTCAAACAGGAAACGTAGCCATGGCGGCGGCAATGGTGTAATTTATAGCTGTACAGACACAGATGTAATCGTGCAATAAACGAGAGTCCGAAGCGATCCCCCTTTGAGAAAGTAAGAACCAGACAGCGTAACTTTGTGGACGTAAGATGCAGTAACATGCTCGCATTCATATGTGCAAGCAAAAAACACCGAGCCACTTTGAAAAGCATTACCATACTTATTTTAGAATCTAGGCCGACAGTTTTTTTTGTTTTTTCAAGTTTTTTTGCATGAAACTCCAGGATCGGCTTAGATTCAAGGATTTTAAAAATGTGCCATTTTTCATTGAAAAAAGTGATGCACAACTAGCACCCCCTAGACAGTATTATAGCCATTAGTAGCCAAGCCAGCACATTGTTTAAGTGCTCACGTGAGGCTTAAGGGGGGACGCGGGTCTTAGAATGGTGAAAAATGGCCAAAAAGTCGATTTTGAGAAAATGCTATATTTGAAATTTTAGACCTATAAGCACGTGTCTTTGAATTGTGAACGCTGAATTCGATCCGTAAATGGATTAAAATTGATTATGAAGTCGCCACGGGAGCCGCAAAACAACCCACGGCAGGTCAAACTCGTTCAAAATTCCTGCGCGCGCCGCCGGCGAGGCAGTCGGCCGATCACTGCCATCTTGGGCTTGTTTTGATGCTGATTCCTTTGTGCG